TAATAATAAAATGTAGACTTTTGTAATTTTCAATTTTGTTATTATTGTTTGTAGCCGGGTATTGTCATAACAATGCAATAATCATAAATGATTGCAATAATTTATAGATGACTGAAGTGCGGATGTTTGTTTCGTTTATAAGCTTATAATTAATTAACAGCTATCTAAATACGATGTGATTTAATTTAACCTTTAAAAAAGATTTGTTTATATTACAATATGCCCGGGATTAATATTCTGAATAAAAAAACAAGTGAAAACACTACAGTGGGACCCGATCCATCATTAAATAGTCAACGTTACTTGTCATATGGGAATTGATCGGAAAAGGGCTAAGGTCCGAATCATTTTCAGAGACGATTGTTCTTGGACCAAGACACGTCAGTGTACCGAATATCGGGTGAATGGACAGATAAGCTAAAATCAGTTCAGAAGGAGATTCTTAATCGACCAGTGTAAAAAAAGAGTAGATCTAAGTCAAGTCCTTCTGCATATTGCATACTTAGTATACCAGATGGTGCAGGGTAAGATACAAAAAGCAAGATAAAAAGCGTAGTTTACTCCATCCAAATGGAGAAATATGTTCACTAAAGAATTCTAACATTTTTCTTAATTCAAATTTTCTAAGCTATTAGGCTATGCGGAATGTATTTTTTTGGTCAAAATGGAGGACGATTTTTTATTGCGGATATATATGATGATAGGCGGATATGAACGGTCAAACTCGATATATGTATTCTCTCAGTGATCATACAAATGGCTATTCGTCGGTTTGCATCAGTTAATCCTTTTCTTTTTCCTTCATTAGTTTCATCAGTGGCTATCCCGAACATGGTATATCTTCAACATCGAAGTTGTAGGAACGAAATTTTGTAAATCGGTTCTGTCCATAGATTTTCTCCATACCCATCGTATAATTTTTTTTTGGTTTTTGCTTGAACAGCCTTTTTACCGTTTCGATAGTGAAAACATAAAACGTATCGAAAGTGGCGCTTTTCACTTGCCACTGCTTTGAGAGGACAACCACCAAAAACTACTGTGAGCAAGCCTTCCTTTATTAGCGGTTAAAATATGCGATGAAATGCGGCTCAAAAGGCAACTTGGCTGTGAAAAAACGCAATTAAATCCATTGATGGGAGAAAAAACGAAATGACTTTCCGAACCACTCAATATATTGTTAATGTACCCATAAATAAAAGTGCTTCGCATGGAGCGCTCTGTATAGACTAACCGTGAAATAACAAATTTATGATTTATGTTGACAATCGAAACTGACGATAAATCACAAGAAAAAAAAGGGATATTCATGAGGCAGTTGCCCGGCAAGTAACAGTAGACAGAAGCAAGTCTGTAAAAGGACTTCCTTTGAGATAAGTTGCCATAAACACCACCTGGCTTAACAAGTTTTTCTCTGCAGTTACATCAAACAACAACAAGAATAAGGTTCAGCGAATAGGAAAAAATTGTATCTTTTTTGCTCTATATCTATATTTAGTAAGTCATGTTATAGTCTTTATTATGTAATATGTGCTACATATTATGCATTATATAGTACATGTTACGTATATTATTTGCTCGTATTGATGTTGCGGATACTGTTCAAGGTGGAAAAATTAAAAAAGAGTACTCAATTTTACTTCTGGTCACAAATTCAAAAAGTAAAAAAAAAGTCCTGCCTTTCTATTTACAAAATCCTGCGTAAAGCGTAAAATTTCCATTGAAAACGATGAGTAAACAAAAGAATATGTTTTCGTCGGAGTATGAAGAGCTTACACTAAATAATAAAAACACCAAATATAATTCGGATGTGTAGCAGTTGCTACATTTCATTTCGGAACAGGATCTTACTCTTTCGATCCTCCCCTCCATCGAAGCAACTCAGCTAATCTTAATGTTACTTTATTTCTAATGAAAGATGGAAAAAAATTTCTCGGACCAAACTAGGCACACTAACCTAAAGGTTACAATTCTTTGCGATGTAAAGGTAAACATATTTCACTCGAATGCTGAAGCAATAAAACTTTTAAACAAATCCTTTATATATAATAAATGAAACTAATTAATATTTATATATATAATTGAGTAACTTGTCTATACACCATAATAACAAGCCTTTCTTCTAAAGGCATTTAACTTAACTCTTTCGTTTCATTTGTATTCTTGATGGCATTCAATATAAATATGCAAAATGTTTCTGTCTGTGTCAACAAGTGCGCAAAAAGTTTTCTTCTTAACACAGTTTTCTTCTTAACAGTGTTAATTATCTATGTACTGTCACTTTTCATACATACATAGTACAATCCATACAAGAAATGTAGCCAGAATAAAATAAGAGCCGAAGTCGATTGACTTTCAGACTTTTGACTTTTACATCTCATGACAAATTAGATCGATCATTGGACGTAGCATTCCTTAGGGATACTTTCATTTGATTGCAACATCATTCTAAATGAGACCTTGAAATGGATATACAGCCTATCTTGGTTATTTATTCAAAACCGAGAGAAACCATGACAACTGAGACGGTTTCGTTTAGCAAAAGTCAGTCAGCCTTTTATGTAAAAAACGATACGAACTTGTTGCCAAACCTTTTATTGCAAAAAAAAAAAAATATTTATTAATATTTAATGGAATGCAAATCAATTTACATATGTAAACATTAGGTTTAAGCTTAAGAGAGAAAATTTTACTTGAGACACGAGAAAGATGTTGAAGACAAAAATCTGAACTTAGAAATACGTTATCCGAAGTGAGCGTAAAGAATGTTTCGAAAATGGTTCCCGGACTTTAATAACAAACATTTAAAATTTACAAAGATATTCTTAATTAAATGCGATGCGAGAACATATCAAATTCGCCTCAATACCATATCAACCATAAATTCAAATACTCATGAAAGGCCAAGGAAACTCAAATTAACTTCTAGTGCCGTGTCGGCTAACTTCATACACGTAAAACATACCTTAACCTTCGTTAAGCTAAGAGCACGAGATCGGCAAAGCGACTGGCAGAAGTAATCCGTCTTAAATTGAAATCCAGGTTAAATCATTCAATAATATAAGAGATCTTGATACAAGTATCAATAATGCTTAGTCAGTAAAACGATAGATTGTATTAGTCTTTCTAAAGATTAAAAGATTTCAAGGTAAATTCATTATCTTAACTTTTTGTGCTTTTTTCAAGGGAAGCACAAAAACTCTTTTAAGAACAATTGATTACAATTTATTATTAAATTATTAAATTCAAAAATTTTGCTTTCAATAATCGTTCTAAGAATTTTAAATAAATCCATTGCAACTGAAAGTCAATTCAAGAAACAAAACACTCTGTGTCTGTTTCTCTATAAGATTTTACAACAACAATAACAACAAGGAGTACAATATATATTACAATAATATGAAACTTAAGAGCTCAACGGGCAATTTTGTAAATGTCAGACAGAGAGAGAATGCAAAGTTAAAGAACCAAAAAAAAAAAACAAAAACAACAAAGTTTATTTTTTAAAACTAATAAACATGAATCTCAATATTTCTAAATCGTATTATAGCAGCCTTGCTGAAATTGTAAGTGGATACGTTTACATGATTGTATGCGAATTTACGCTTACAGTTTGCCGCAGTGATTAGTATGAATGTAGGAAAGAGAAAAACTGGTTATGCTTGACTGCAACTCGATGCGGCAAGATGACCTTGTTTTGACCTACATTTTACCCAGCATATATCTCCTGCTCCAACTAGCTGCCTCCCTACCCCCTCCCACCAACCCCCCCTCGTCCACCAACTTGACTACTTCTGCACACTTCTTCTCTATTTTCAACTATGCTGCTAAATAGAAGTAAACCTTATGGAGCAGCTGCACACCAGCATACACAGCACAATATTGCTTAAGTAAGCTCATGCTCATGCAGTAACTTCAAGTTTAATATTTATGGAAACCTCTAAACGTGAAAACAAAAAACAAAAAAAAAAAAACGAAAAAACCAAAAAAAAAAAAAAAAAAAAATGAAAATGAAAATAAAAATAAAAAATAAAAAATAAAAATAAAAATAATTACAGAAAACAAGTTTTTCTTTATTTATATATATTCTTTTCTATTCTATGTAGATGTTGATGATATTTTAACCAGATTTCAGTGTTTGTTTTTGGATAATATTGCCACTCTTTGCCTACAACAAGCTCTTTCAAATTGAGATGATGTTAAGCTCTGTACAGCGACTCAAGATATCATTTACATTCTAATTACATACAAAATACAAGACAAACAAAAGCCAATCCGCAGCAAAGATAGACACACGTATACACGGGTTATGATATCTTGCGAAAAATTACTACAAAATATTTACCAAAAAAATTGTTTAATAAACCGAAGCAATACAAAAATACGAAAAACAAAAAAAAACAAAAAAGTCTTTATTTAATAATAGCTATCTACGTTTGTTGTTTGTTATACTTGCACTGTGGTGTAATATATCGTTGCGAGTTTTCAAGCTGCTAAACCAACAACACACAATCCCTGTGCACTTTTCAAATAATTCGACGCAGCTCAGAACGTTTTCAGTTGGCTAAGTGTTAAGTTAAGCAAAAAGGCTTTAACCGGTTTACTTACATTAACGCTTGAGCTTGACTTTAATTTTATTATACTGTGTAATTTTAGTTAATTGCTTGTGCGCTGTTTGCTGGGTTGCACAAGATCGATGTGATATATAATATTTTCATATTATATATATTTTATTGAAAAACAATTTAAAATCAAACAAATGTGCTTTTCATGTTACTTACTATTAAAAAATATTTTCTAAAATTCAGTTCATTTAATTGCGTTCCAGCAAACGAATGGAAAATGACTTTAAACAATGATGTGCGTTTTTTTTTTATTTCTCTGTTTATTTTCAATAGAATTTTCATAATTCCATTAGTTTTATTATTATTTTTGCTTGCGCGTTCTTGTTCTTATTATTATTATTATTATTATTGTTGTTGTTGTTGTTGTCACCATTTCAGATTATCATCACTGCCATGGATCGTTTCGTTTGGTTTGTGCTATTGATTGTCATGTCACATTTAGTTACCGAATTCACAAGAGTAACCAGTGGTAATGCACGATCAACGCTCCATCATAATCCGGTCACGGCGAACGACATCGGTAAGTAAATATTTCCACTTTATAAATAATTTAATGGTTTAGCATGAAATTTTCAACATTTGCAATGTGTGTGTTAGTAAATAATAAACAAATCTGTTATGTTTGCCCGTTATATCTTTTGAAATTTGAAAGCATTCGTTTCAAAATCTTCTCATAAAAGATATTTTAAATATCTCAAGTGCTTGTAAATCAAAAAAAAAAAAAAAAAAAGTCAAAAAGCAATTATTTGCACCATAGATCCCAGAGAATGCAAACAAACGTTTGCTGCTAATGTGAATAAAGCGGTAGGTGACGGTGTCTGTCTATTCGTCCGACTCTTCAAAGTGAGACTACGTTTCCAAAACTTTCTTTTAGAAGATCTTCTTTGAGAAGAACGCGACTATGATTTCAAAACTTTCTTTTAAAAGAGTTTCTTCACGGAAACTTTCTTTTAGAAGACTACCTTTTAAGTGACTTGCATTGAAAAGAATGCAGCTACGATTTCAAAACTCTTTTTTAAAAGGGTCTCTCCTAGGGAACTGTCTTTCACAAGATTTTCTTTTAGAACGCTTTCGTTTAGGAAAATTTTTTCTTCGAACACTTTCTTTAAGAAGACTTTATTTTATGAGATTTCTTTTTAGAGAAATTTCTTTGATGAGAACAATCTTTTGGGAGAATTTCTCTTAGTAAATTTTCGTTTAGAAGACTTTTTCATAGGTGAGTTTTTTTAGAGGATTTTCTTTATGAAGAAAGACGCTACTAAGATTTTAAAATTTTCATTTAGCGCAGTTTCTTTTAGGTGACTTTCTTTTAGAAAACTTTCATCTACGAGATCTTTGTAGTAGACTCTCCTTTACGAGACTTTTCCTTTTGAGAAAAGTTCTCTTTAGAAGAATCTCTTTGAGAAGTAGAATGCGACTACGAGAACTTCTTTTAGAAGACTTTATTTTAGGAAACTTTTTTTTTTAGAAGATTTTCTTTTAGGATAGATAATAAAGTTTTCTTTATTTTAGAAGATTTTCTTGTAGGAGAATTTCTTTTAGAAAGCTTTCAATTAGGAGAAAGAGGCTTTTCTTCTAGGAAGCTTTTTCCAGAAGACTTTCGTTAAGAAAAAGAATACGACTACCTTTTTTTCGCAAACTTTTTCAGTTCAGCGAGACTTTCTTTTCGCAAACTTTCTTTTAGGGGACTTTCTTTTAGGAAAGTTTTCCTTAGGTAACTTTCTTTTCGGAGATTTTCCTTTGGCATACAAACGCTACTACGATTTTAAAACTTTATTTAGAACAGTTTTTTTTAGGGGACTTTCTTTTAGAAGACTTGATTTTAGAAGAGTTTTTTAAAAGACTTTATTTTAGAAGAATTTCTTTAGTAAAAGTTTTTCTTAGGAAATTTTCTTTTTGGGAGATTTTCTTTTAGAAGTCTTTGTTTTTGGAAAGCATTTCTTAGGAGACTTTTTCGTAGGAGACTTTCTTCTTTTACCACACGACTTCAATCAAATCGATTCATTCATTAAAGAAAAATTACTGATAAATTTTCTTTAAATTATGGACTTAAACGATCGTTCTTGAAAACATATAGTAATTTGAAAATCATTAGGCAAATATAATTCTCGACTGTTAGTTATATACACATGCGATATACGCTGCGATATACGCTCTTTTCACTCTTCCTTCTTTAGAATCAATACCGAATCAATATCAAATACATACAAATATAAAAGCTAGTAGTGGTTATTAACGTAATTGTCCCAAACTGCATCTGTTTTCCTTTTTGTGCCAAAGTTCACTGACATTTTGTGTTTTTTTTTTGAATCTTGTACAAAACTGTTTTCCTCTTCATAAAAAATTACTAAATGTAATACGTGGAAAACACATAATCGTGGAACACACCTCGAAAAAAAAGCGCCAATAAAAATAAACATCATGAAACAGTTGAAGCGATTAAAGTTGTTTTCTTAATTGATGACTGGTCCTAACTTCAGTGCTACACGATGAGTAATTGTGTTACAACAATTGTTTTTTGTCATTGTTTGATCGTAAACACAGCTTTTTCTTTCGATTTTGCTTTTCTCTAAATGTTAACTGACACATTTGTGACTGACATATTATTCAGAAAATTAATAGCTGATGTTAACGTCGCCTCGTCACCTCATCGCAACACATAATCAAATAAATTTTTCTCACAAATTTATTGAACGTCCTTTTTGCATGCAACTGCCAAGTAATTGGCTTAAATTACATTTTATGCCGAATATATGGATAATGGATATGGACTTGGAAAGGTTTTTATCTCATAAAGGTTAAAGGCAACTTTATCGCTTAAGCGCAGCAAATTTTTATTTAAAATTCAAAAGGTTTAAATCACATATTTATCTACGGCAATTATCGAAAATGATTTTGAAATTTAATTACAATTGGAAAGGGGTTTATTTGCTTATTTAACTGCAGGAAGTCTTAACATTACTTTTTAATTACAGGGAGTCTTAACAGCTTCGTTCACAGATTATTTTAAGAAATCAAATTAGCCATGCATATATATACAAATGTACATTTACAGTTTATAATCCCTTAGCATCTTGTTTGGGTTTTTTAGCAGCTTACGTTTGTCTACAACTCTCGGAGTTGTGGTAGAAATGTTTATTAAGTTTGTGTGAACATATGCAATATCCAGACGAGTTTGCAATAACCCTACTGTTTATTAGTCCGATCGGTCCAGAGATTGATTCTATGCTTGTCTGTCCGTCCTATTTTCCATTGTTCAACCTAGAGTCCGACATTTGGTAGTTTGACGTATTCAGAATCACTTACTTAACTGCTTAGCGAATCGATCTAAGATCATCTTTCCGTCTGTCTGCCTTTTTTTAATGTATTCAACCTACAGTCCGCCAATTTTTAAGATATGTTGAAAATGGTTCCGAATCGAATCACTTTTTAGACAACTTTCCATATAACCTTATTTTAAAAAGTTATTACATGTATAAGGTGGTCTAGGGTACTTAATGGTAGATTGTGGCCTACTGCAGTTTTTTCACTTGTTACTACTGGAAGAAATTGATTTAAAGCTATTAAAAAACCTATATAGTTTTCATTACGGCCTGTGTGCTCGCTGCACATTACAGTTTCCTTGCGGCTTCCTTTTCACGCAAAAATCCTGTGGACTTCCTTTAATTGTTAACTTTTTTCCTTACATGAAAGATAATCACAAATTAGAAGAACATATTTTAGACATTTCTTCCCCTTCAGTATTAGGTGATGTCATGGATTATAAGGCAATAGCTCTTTTCTCCCTTATCATTCTTACAAACATTTCGTGGCATTTCAAAGAAACTACGCCAAACGAACCACACCATCGCTGCCAGTGACAAGCAGTTTGATCCGTAACCAAACAAACCAAGCCATTGCTTTTAATAGGAACTCGTGTCGTAGCATCTGAAGCTCCGCTTGCCAAAATTGCCAACAGTAATAAAAGATTGTTAACAATATTTATTAGAACTAGTAAAAATCTTGATAGCAAAAAAGCGCCATCAATTTATGAAGAGTCCACTAAGCCGTCACCTGTTTTTTTCGTTTTCATGGCAACATTATCAGCAAAGATTATAGGCCGGCCCTCTTCGTAGCCTAATCTTGTTTTATAAAAATGTTCAGATTTAATAATAAATTAAAAAATTTAATACACAGTCACGAGACCAATTTTGACCTATCACTTGTTAAAGCTCTCACGACTTTGTATCAAATTTTTCAATATCAACTATAGGTCAAAAACATCATACGAAAATCTGATGTAAACGAGGTTCCGATGCCCCCAAAGAGCATTGTCAACACCCAATCAAATATTTTGCAATCCTTTCGCATTCGGTTTCACTCATGGCTACTAAATATTCACATTTTCTTGGTTTCTGCCATGTCCTAAAGAAAATTTGTATTATTTGCTCACCATATGCTAATCGCTGCATGCGAAATAGTTCCATAAACAGCTTGCAATACCAGCTAATTGTTCGAAACTATTGTATGCGATAATAAGATATCAACAACAATTACAAAATCAAACACTAAAACAATCCGGCAATTATCACTCATGGGATCAATAAGCTTCAATTAGTAAATGCATCGTGTACGGCCTCATTAGTTTGCACAACAATGTAATTAATAGCATCACAACGCGAAATGCTCTTCAAAGCAAACGATAAGTGAACTATTTATGATATGTCATAAGCCTTTACCAAAAAAAAAAAAAAAAAAAAAAAAAAATTGTGAACGATTGGTCGATCAAAACTTCTTTCTATTCTGGAACTATCACGACTGTTTTTAAAACCATGACAAGAAATGAATCTTAATAAGCAAAAAATATTAGATAGATTTGAATATGATCGAAGCCTTTAAGCTGGCAAAGCAAAACAACCACAAGGAAACACGGCTTCAATACTCCTTAATATTGGATAAATGCGGTCGATTTTGTTTTTTAATTTTTGAGATGCTGCTATAAGATCGCCCATAGAGTGCACGAATTTTTACGAAAGAAATTCTTTTTGCTTTTGAAAACAGTACTGTGCACTTCAATCGATTTCGCCCATATTCAAAAGCAAACCAAGCTTTATGTAAAACTTCTCTCAATGCTTTTGACAAACTTGAAGCAAACACCTCGGTTTTTGCGACGAAGAGGATGACAGACGGACAGACGAAAGAGCAGAAGGACAGAAGAGCTCAGAATTTTGAGTTTGATAATGGTCAAGACTAAAAAGTCAATGTTTCGCGGGTTCAAAATCTCAAGTGCAATTCAGAGTTCACTTTGGTCGTAGCTCTAGTGATCGTTCAGTCGATGTACATATCGAATGGACCGACATCCGATCCGATTCCGATTGGCCACTAGCTTGTGCAACACTCAGAAGCATTTGCGGTAGACGCACTTTTTATTATATCGTTAGATATAGAAACACTTTCTGAACCATTTATCTGACCGTCCATCTGACCGGCTGTCTTTTTCGTTTCCTTATGTTCAACTTGCCGTCCGCAAATTTTTTGAGATATTTGCATGAACTTTGTTACACTGGAGTATTTTAGCCCCAGCGCTTTTGAAAATAGTTCGCACGCGATCACCTTTTTGACCACTTTCCATATAATTAATGCCTCACTTTGATAAGCCATCGCCTACGGTTTGGGGTAAGCTATTTAATGCTACGCCGTTGCTCATTACTGTCCTTTTACTTCTCTTTACAAAAGAAGTTAACCAATTAACTGTGTATGACGAAAACACACATTATGATCCGTCCGTCCGTCCTTCAAATTTTTCGTTAAGAACGTGTATTTGCCATAATAATGCCATAATAATGTATTTTAGAAAATAGTTTTGTCTTTTCCTCAAGTCGCTTCATTACACATGCTCTCTGTTTGGCGGGTGCACAAGTCAGTTAACCGCTTAATAAGCAATTAATACTTGGTTCTCATTGAAGCGTTACTTTCGCTTGTCAATCATGTCAGCCAAAGACAAATTTCAAATTTAGTAGTCTCCCAACTTAATCAACTATAATTAATTATTTTCTAATTACCTTAGTCTCTCTTTATCCGCCTAAATGGCCGAGTAGGCAAGAGTCTCGACTAGCAACTCAATGGTCGTGGGTTCAAATCTCAAGTGCGGTAAAGTTTTTAAAAAAGCCGAAAGCCTTAGATGCTAGTGCTTTAAAACTTTAGTCTTAGAATTTATTCTCTGGCTAAATTTATAATAATAATAATGATAATAATACCTTAGTCTTAACAGAATATACTTACTTGATATAATTGAAATCATAAAAAAAATAAAAAAAATGATTTACTTTAACCATAGTTATACACGTTTTTATTAATTAAATTTCATTTCTGTTTTCTCCCTTTAACTTCTATATAGGTGTAAATACAACTTATAAAAATGTCAACACTAATGCAACAACTTGGCCAGAAGTTACAACTTGGACAATACGCCCTAGCAGTAAAGCGCTATTACTACCTCGACAACAACAACAACAAGAGCAACAAGAACAACAACAACAACAATCTATATTAGAATTACAACAATAATAATGATTACGATTGTTTGTACGACAATTTCGTTGCAATACATGATGGTGTGCTAATTACAATACCAAGATACGGCAATGTAAATAAATGATAGCAACTGGAGCGTTACTAACCATTAGAATTATGGTAAATACAATTTAGCAATTAGTCAATTGTACGTTTAGTACGCAAGCAGATGCGAACAAAACTAGAATTGCGGCTAAACGCACAACACGTGAATAAACAAAGATATTTATTGATTAAGATAAAGCTTAATGTAAACGATTATGCTGCAATACATTTAGTTATTGTATACGATTTAATTTCATTCCCGAAAGAAGAAAAAATTCTTAAATAATGTCTACACTTAAACTAAGATAGTTATTAATGAGTATCTTACGAGAAATTGAAACGAGAAAAAAAACTCAATTCGTTTTTTGTTCTCAACAATTTATTTTCACAAGGAACATCTACAATGTTTCCAAGTATAATAGACGGATACTTGAAAAACTTCTACCAAGCAGCTGTCATTAATTTGTTGGCTTGTTTGACATCGCATTTGTCACTTAGGGAGGGAGGCAATAGCAACAACAACAACAACTAGTACAAAATTACATCCTTAACAACATCAACACATTGCAGATACATACATACATACACGTATATATATATATATATATATATATAGACTTATGCATACAAGCCTTGCGCTCTACTCTATGCTATGCTAAGAAAAGCAAAAATAAACGAAAGCTTAAACATCTTAAGTTCGAGGGCACAGTACCGAAGATGACAATTATTGCGAATAGAAGACAAAAAAAAAAAATTTATTTATTGATTTTAATTAAAATTTTCGCTCCTCTGTTTCTATTAAACTAAAGAAATTTGTTTTAAATTCCAATAATATCTGAATTGAAAAAAGACTTATATATAACAATAAAATGGTTTTTATAGCCTACACCACTTGTCGTGCAAGAGCATAGTGTGTTCGTGCGGATGTATACAACACCTAGAAGGATCGAATGATTGAGATCGCGATTGAGAATCACTATCTGAATCGATCTGAACTTTTCTGTTCGTGGGTCCATCAGTCCAACTTGTATTGTTCGATGCACGCTTATCTGAGGCTCCGTTTGTCGGGCCTCGGTATTTTTCATTGTATGCTTGTCTATCCATCGGTCCGTCTGTTGCTATCGAAAAATGTTTAAATTGGACCACTTTTTCGATCATTTGCCCTATGAAGCGTTATTTTGAAAAGTTGTTATATAAATAACTGCATACAACGAAGTGGCGATGCGCTATGGCCAACGCATTCATAAGCACTTTTAATTAAGAGTTGAATGAATTACGGGTTTAATAGAAAAACTTTAAAATTAAAAATCAAAACTATTAGAGAACAAAATGAAAGCAATTTTCAAAATGAAACCAATTCAGAGTAAATGATTTAATTTTAAACAAACGAAAACACAAATTTTTAATTGCAATTTGTGATCAAATTGGTTTGACCTTAAATGATGTGCGGAAACAATATCGAGAAAGTCAATAAAGAAATTTTAATTATTTAACTTTATAACGATTTTTGAAAATGGCACAGAAGAATGCCACAAGTTCGTTCTAAGACCTTTTCGACCATGCATGGTTTAGCGAAACTGTTCCCCACAAATTTGAATGAAAATTTTTAATAAGTTCGTCCTGATACTTTTTTGACAATGGACAATTTAGCGAAACTATTCTTCACAATATCGAGAAACACTGTTTTAGTGTGTCCTTCCTGATAGTTCTTTGACAATGTACGGTTTAGCGAAATTATAGCTCACACTATCAGGAGAAATTTTTTAATAAACTTTTCCCGGTACTTTTTTGACAGAATATAGTAATCCACCTTTAACTGAAAGCTAAATTCACTGAAAAAATAATCTTGACACTCAAGTTGTACCGTAAGTGTGAGGGTTTTCTTTTACGATTTTCTTTTAAATAACTTCTGTTAAGAGTTTAAAGAATATTTTAAAGGTTTTATGTGGGCATAATAAAGCGACGAATTATTTGAAAAGTCACATTTTATCGCTAACGGTTGCTACGCATATACATATACGTATCAACAAAATTGTTTTCGTTATTATTGTTGCTATTGTTGCTATTGTTGTTAACATATTGTAATATATAAACTTGTTGTAAAGTTTATTTTCAAATTATATTTACTAAGCATTTCATTATTAGGAATCCATGTCGTTATCTTTATTTGTAAAAGTCTTTAAACACACAAACACTTGTGTAGTAATCGTTCAAGGGAAATTTGTAAAATTTTGTTCACCCATTCATTCGGAAAATTTCTCTCTACTCATGTTCATGTAAATTATATTATTGCTTGCATTCACCATTAGCTGCATCGTTTTTATTAAATACGTTACGATTTCATTCATTTTAATGATTACTAATAACAAAATGCAAATATTGTTGCAATAACGTATGTCCAGATGATATATATTATTAATATTTATATTATTTCCTTGTCAATTTTGTTAACTTATTTCACTATGTTGACTTTTGTTTATTGAGCGTTAAAATTTCTATCGATTTTTATTTAGATATAATTTAAATATTGTGATATTTATTTTACTTAGATTTTACTGAAAGCTATACCAAGTAATTAAATATTAATTAAAACATTATACTATTATGTTAAGACCAACCATTCAATATTATTTACGTTACATTTGCAAATGAAAAGGAAATTTAATAAACATTTTATCAATATTTCATTTCAATGTCTCGAAAGTGATCGAAAAAATAGTCCGATCGGAACGATTCTTCTTTGTCTCCAAAACGGTCGTACGGCCGGTACGTTAGACGCAAGAAAACATGTTAGATAAACGGACAGGCAGACTTAGACCTATTCAAGGTTCATCTCAAATCCTTCCGGATGTTGCATACATCCACAGGAGCTTAATATACCCTTGCCACACAAGTGGTGCGATAAAAGATCTCTTTCACAACATTTTGATCGAAAAAATATAAAAAATGGTTTAAAACTTATTGATGCCTGAGCATGGGCCGGCGCATAATAATGAAGATTCCGGTCCCAATAAGGAGTCGTAATACCAACAAATTCACCAACGCAAGCATCGCTTTTTTAACAATGAAAATATCGGGTTACGTGCTGTCAGCATTTATTTCTTTGCCAGAGTTATACAAAAGAAAGTCTTCTTTCCTGCCTTTTCCATCTTTTTTGCATCGTATCCTAACTGAGGATGAAAAGAGAATATATTTCGGAAATTCCAGGCGTAAATATTCACCATCCCTATCAGCTGCGGCACTGATTTGCTTTGCCTTGAGGATGATATTCTCCATTTGATGGAGTCAGCAGTGTGTTATCTGTTATCATTTGCTGAAGTCTGGTGAAAAGGTTGATATTCAACGCTCTTGATTCACCAAATCCCTCCAGCGTTCATAGGCAAAACCAGTCCGCAATGCGTTGGAAGTACTGAACTTTGCTAGACGATGCGATTTACTCGCCAAGGTCGGTTTCGTCCGATTATAATTTCTCTGCACCGGTGTGATAGACTCCCGCTGACCAGCGTTTCACTGTTTACGAAAATATATGACAAGAGCAACAGCTTCTTTTGGCATCCACAGATTATCAGAGGAGGGGAAAAACGCATAACTAGCGACGGGCAATACCCCGAATAAAATAGTTTCTATCACTTTCATGCAAAAAACCTGGGTTTTCCATTAAAAATTCCAGTTTCATATGTACATACTCGGTAATGCGAACCTTTATTAATGATGAATGCAGTTGTGCAATAGCGAAAAAGCGCAAACAGTAAATAAAATGCCATTAATAGAAACCGTAGAACGTCAATAAAACATTTTTAATGAAATTCTTAATAAATGTTTACATTGCCTTTGCTTTATCTGGTCATGAATATTTACCTCTTACTATTCTAAAAGCGCGCACTTGTTCTCCGTAATTACTTTCTCTTTAGATGCCCGAAACAAGTTTCGAAATATTGTTTTAAAAGGCCCAAAAGGTTAGAAAAACAACCAAAGGTATGTGTGAATACGAAATGAAAAAATTAAAAAAAATTGCTTTCAATGCCATGCCATATACATTTAAGCTTAATTCTCGACTGTTCAATTAAATCATCTGCAAATTCATATAAACTGAGTTCATACTATATATAAAGTATATATTATTGCGATAAAGTAGAGCGAATATTATTTCTTCACTTAACAATATCCAATATCTCCCTCATAGAATTAATTTCTTTTCACAATTTCCTAACGATTGCACAGTGCGAGCGCAATACCAACAATGTGCTTTAGTAACTCAGTCATTTCTAAAAATACGAACAAATTAATCGAAAACTTAGATTATTTGTTTTCCGAAAAATATGTTACAAATAATACATTTACTATTGTTGCTCACCAAGATTCAATCGTGTATGTAATGTAACATACATTTAGGAAGTATTTAATTAATTTCTTATGTGAATAAAATTTATTCAATTTCGTCGAATTTTCAAAACCTGTTAGCAGATTAAAAACTTTTGTAAACGATTCATTTAATTGATCTATCAAAGAAATAATTAATTAATTTAGTAGTACTTGGAAATTTGTGGGCACTTCACACCCATCAGTTTTTGTATTTATGAAACTTTTGTCGATCCTTCGTTGAAATTGTAGAAAACGGTCTGGTTAGAGGGCTTCCACTATTGGTACGTTTGCTCGATTTTCCTATCTTAAGGCATTGCTGCTTTAGTGAATTTATCGAAAGAATTCTAAATATGTAAATAAAAGTTTCGACTTGGCATTTCGTAATTTATTTTTTAGGTACTTGCAGCCATTTTAGCCACGTTTCAAAGATAATGCGAACAGTACGAGTTTTCTCTCTCGAAATATCGAATGACAATCAATGATCAATAATTGAACTTACTTTCCTTTTTTCCCCACGACTTTGATTTCCGAGCTGGCGGTACCACTAATGTACCACTATTCTCAACATTCATTTCAAATTTCAATTGTACTTGTCAGGAAAACCCGTAAGATTTTCTTGATCGTTTCACTTCAACAGATTTTAGATTTTAAGAACAATAAAAATTTTTCCAGCAACTTTGGAGACAAATACTACATGTTCACTAGGGAACGTTATTATGAAGTTATCGTGCTGCATCGCTAAGAAAAAATTTTGAATTACTCCAAAAAATGTACAAGATACGTGAAAAAAATTTCTTCGATTGTATTGATAAGACTTTCGTAAGTAAATTTCGAGAAACTGATGCACACATCTTTGCTCACAAGGCAGCATTATCCTTTAAACGGAAAATTACTATTCGGCACGTGACTACAACGCTTTTAATCGGAATAAACAATTAGGAAAACTCTATACCCTTGTGGCCGTATCTTTTGTACCTACCATCTCTATCTTAAAAAAAAACAATTTGAGGCTTTATAATGGCGAGAATACGCGGATGATTTTTCTCCACTTTTGTATAGTCGCTAAACAACCATCCACAGTTCATACGCGAATATGTTTATGGTTATATTTGTTGCACTTTAATAGTTATGGTAAATAACAATTTTTTCGTTTTTAGTTTGTGTTGCCTCGTGAGCGTGTCTTTCGACCGAAGTGAGAACAAGTCTACCTTTTCTTTAGATTTTTTGTATACAGATTTATATATAGATTTATATTGTAGTTAGGGATTTTACAGAGTTTTTGAAGCCCCTCACTGCGCAATGATGGGTAAAAACGTTTTAAGCAAAATCTACATCCAATCTGTATAACAACTATATTAGTATAGTCTGAAACGGCAATGGGAAAGCATGGAG